TTTATTCCCGCAGATTTGTCATTCTTCAGATGACGTATACGTACTATTACTGAAATTGGTGCATTTGGAATAGCAGTTGTGACTTCATCTTCAACATCAGTGTCCATAATAAAATCAAAGAAAGGCCTGAATTCGTTACCATTATCTTCATTCTCAAGGTCTGAGGCATTGAATAAAGTTTTGAAGTGATCGTGCCACTCATGAGTGAGTGAGTTTAGTTTTACGCCGCACTCAGCAATCTTACAGCTATATGGCGGCGGTCTGCAATCGAGTCTGGACCAGACAATCCAATGATCAACAGCATGAGCATCGTTCTACGCAATTGGGATACGATGACATGTGTCAACCAAGTCAGCGAGCCTGACCACCCGATCCCGTTAGTCGTCTCTTACGACAAGCATGTGTTACTGAAGATCAATTCTAACCCAGATCTTCAAAGGTCGTTGGGTCCGTACCATGACTTGGCATAGTATTTTCTGTAAAGATGGATTTTAAGCTTTTTATCACTTTCCAAAAACGTTTAGGATTTTCAACAGACGAAGTTTATGTTTATGGTATTTTTCTTTTTATCTTGACAAATTGCATTATACTTGTTCCTAGAATCCACACGATCCCCGACCGCGTCATACCAAAAGACGTTAAAATATGGTACTTGTTGGTCCCTGCCTGGTGCTCGGTATTAATGGGTACAACAATGACTGGTCGGCTCGGAGTCAGTATAATGTGTCTGAGTGGGGTATTCATGCTTCACTGCGGCATGGTATGTTAATGGGCCACCACTATAAAACCAGCTTCAGTCTGGGCTTCTACACACGCATGCACGTCGTAATATGAGCGAAATATTCTCAAGCACGATGTTAAACCCAATTTCACCTCTCCTCACCTCCTAGAATCCACATATTCGTGGATCCTTATTTGTCTGAATTTATGATATTCCTGCACCTTTAATTCCTTTTAAATTCTGTGCCAAACCAAGGTTTACCAGTTTTACGTGTACTACAAAGCGTCTTTCCATTCCATCTGTTATACACTTGAACCTTTACACAAATGATCTCCACACTAATTAATACTTGTTAATGCAACAACGAGAGATTTTTCGAACTGTACTTGTACAGTATCAGAATGTAAATTTTCGAGAAATGATTTTTTTTCTTAGCCATATCCCATGTAAACCCGGATGAATGAATAAATATGGTTTTACGCCGCTTTTAGCAATATTCCAGCGGGGAACACAAGAAATGGGCTTCACACATTGTACCCATGTGGAGAATCGAACCCGGGTCTTCGACGTGACGAGCCAACGCTTTAACCACAACGCTACCCCACCGCCCCTAAACCTAAAAGGAAGAATATATGAATTATCCTCGTCAGAAACCAACACAACTGTGGAAAGCTTGTCAGTGTTGAAAAAGCTCCTGAGAGTATATTTCATACTCAATCAAGCTTGTTCTATTATGTCCAATGATTGTAAAATTATCAACACCCTGGTCACAAGCACATCTTCTAATCATTTAATGAAAAACTACAACTGTGCACACAATGATTAACATTTTACAAAACTATTTACACATTTGTCATTTGATTACCATTCATTGCAGAAATATCCTATAGAAGCTCACCTAATCTATTGTCGGTACCTTCTGTGTACTCCAAAATATAAGTAGGTTTTGTACCAGTTCTTGAGTTAAAACCTCCGCTGACACACGTATAAATCAGTATTCTTCATAAGCATATCCAATAGTCATTCTAGAAAGATAAAGAAACTATTTTTACATTGTCTTTCCGTATTACTGTACCAAGGGGATCCTTTAGGATGTACATTCACATAAGTGTACAGCAGATCCTTGTTAATATCAAAAAGGTGTTTATGAAACAAGAAAAATATACAATTTTCAATTGGGAGAGCGTATTTTCAATAAGTACAAGCATGCCTCCGGACAGTCTACTGACAGCAGATATTTTCTCAGTATCAGTCTGCAAAAATTGATTTCAGATCACAACCGTTCATCCGTTTAAGGAAATCCGATGATTTTATGTGAAACAGTCACAATCATCAAGTTTTAGTTAAAAACCGGACACATTCGAGAATATAACGTTAAATTGTGAACATATACTCACACAATTATTTACGCATCGTGTTGAACCACATCGGCCCGGACCACACCCCCTATCTCTCCTCATTATTATTTCTCCTTGGTCTATTCCTCTCACGTAGTTTTCTAGTATCTAGATCTTTCCTATTTACTCTCTGCGACTCTCCCACTCCATCACTGGGCACATCCTCATCCCTGTCTGTCTCGGTAATGTCAGTACAATGTGTCTGAGTGGGTATTCATGCTGAATTGCGGCATGGTATCTCAGCGAGCTTGCACTATAAAACCAGCTTAAGTCTAGGCTAGTACAAGCAGCCGCACATACACCTTGATGCCTGTCGTCATATGAGCGAAATATTCTTTAGTGGGCCCAACGACGCTAAAGAGACACTGTCACACATTTTCGACAATATTTTGGCCTGTACCTTATATATTGGGGGGCATATGTACTCATTTTAGCTTCTCATTGATGCAATAAAACACTTATTATTCCTTACAACTTGCCTGAAATCGATAATTGAAACTTCGAGGCGAACAACTTCCAAACAGATAGCACTTGCCATGTTTGGAATATAAACGGTTGCTCCGTACATCGAATACGCGGTGTTGTCTCATAACTCTACGGGGTTCGCTTGAAATAATGTTCGGCCGGCAGAAAGCACGAGAGTCGATTTAATGCAACGTTGCATAAATTCACTCGAACTTTTTAATTTAATATTGTAATCTAAATACGTAATTTTTGGAGAAATAAATTATATGGCAGCTTCCATGGGGGCTGATAGTTAGTATTATTGAGAGAAATGCATTATGCATTTTTAGAGAAATGTGGTGTGACATTGAGCATTTAAATCCCATTTCTCCTCACACCTCTCTTCACGTCCCTCTTGCTGTTCCAGTTCCTGCCCACATCGTGGTTCCGAGGGATATTATCACACAGATTACAACTGAAACCCATGCATGGTACTGACTCTGAGGTCATCAGCCTGGAAAATATGCCGTGACCGCGTTTGGTTGACAAAAATAACCAGTCCTGCATCTCCACGGTATCACAGATGTCCACATTACTTGTTTTTAAACTTTCAGGTTTGTGTGGTTGTTTATGAGATAACCAAACAGATATAAATCACGAGAGCGAACTCCAGTGCACATCCCGCACTCTAATTGTTTTTGAAAACACCAAAACAAAATGTGTGAGTGAGTATAGTTTAACGCTTTTAGCGATATTCCATCAATATCACGGCGGGGGACACCAGAAATACGCTCCACACGTTGTACCCATGTGGGGATTCGAAAACGGGTCTTCGGCGTGACGAGCGAACGCTTTAACCACTCGGCAAAACAAACACACACCAAACATTAGACACACAAACAAACTAACTAACAAACAAACAAACAAAACAAACTAACTAACTAACTAACTTACTAAATAAATACAACCCATTCCAAATTTCAGTTTTATATCATAGGTGTTGCTTTTGAATAAACACAGATCGGATCTGACATCTGCCAAGATCATAACTGATGTATGAGAGATTTGGTAGCAACCTCGTTACGCTTTGTCTCTGAATATGTATTATTTTGATAGAAACAAACAATTCCTTTTAAAATTAAATGGATCCCAAGTGGAACCTGGCCGACTTGCAGATCATAATGCAGTTACGGGACTGTGAGACTGTGGCACCCTTGTAACAGTGGTTCGTGCATCATACATACATACATACTAACATTTGTATAGCGCCGATATCCAGCTCAGCTGCTCAAAGGCGCTTTGTTTTTCCCTCGTTCACTGGATGTCATTCTCAACGGCACATCGTATTGTGAATCTCAACTCCCTAGGGAGCATCATGAGTAAGATGGGGTTCGATTCCAAACGCGAGTTGAGTTAATATGTTTTTATTTCATAAGGGTGATGCAGGCCAATGATACAGATATACTGGTACAGATATTGTTGTATACAGAGCGCTTGAAATGATGGCTAATTATAATAAATGTATTTTTACATGAATAACAGCTTTTACAAAATAGATGCATTAGAAATTCATCTGAGAGGGAAATTTCACCTTTTGAGAGAAGTAATGATCGCTTCTTGTCCGAAGTTGAATATTCCGAGTTTTATTTTTGAAGAAGTGTGTATCTTAAATTATGACAAAATGGGCATTTAAACAAAAATTGTCCTCGGATCCAATGTATGGGACAATACAGGTTGGACATAATCTTTCTGATCTGGGAATTTTCCACCTCCTGCCCGACTCTATTCATAACATTCGAACAGTAAAATCGGAAATTAGTAACATAATATTTAACTGTTACAGTTTCGAGTAAATTTGATTAACTAATTATTTCTGTAGAAATCCAACTTCGCGAAAGCCTCTAAATCTGCACTCCAGCATTGCTGCTTAATATCACCTTTCCCTGAACTGAGAGATAAATAAGACACTATTTCCTACACCTTGTCGTAGTCGCACTTCACCAAAACCATAACTGAATAATAATGATTTAACGTTTAAAGCTCAACAAGACTTGCCATTTTCAGCTTTGCGATATTGAGAATTATAAGAGTGCTTCAAAATCACATTGTCGGTTTGAGACAGTAACCTTAACCAAAACTTGATTATTTTGACATAGTGAAAAACTTTGACATTAGGCCTACCTAGAATACCACGAGCTAACAACATTGGAGTACCTACATTTAACACGATATGAATTTACAAAATCTATCATGACAAGCTTCAATATTAGACGATGAGTCAAAAACCAAACTTTGGAGCCGTAAGTAAGATGAGGAAGACCTTTAGTATCAAAAATATGCTCAACAACGTCCTGTGGAAAAAGGGAGGATTTGAAATAAGTGAAACCAGATCCTGAATATGGCATTACTGTGATGAGCCAGGAAAGACAAAACCAGTGTTTGAGAATAAATAACGATTTATTGACATTCATAAATCAGCATTAGGACGGCCATAAAAATAACTTCTTGTTTCTTATTACCGCCCGACCCTAAATTTTGGTTATATTTTTTGCACTGATAAATTTGCGTGTATAGCCGACAGACTTCCGAAATCCGTCTCAGATTCCGGCATTTCAGGTTTTCGACTAACATTGTATAGAGATTCAGAAACAAATATTGAAAGAAATAATAATAAAATCCACCCTACCAACCCATTTTTAAAAAACGTAATGAGAAACAAGAAACCTATTTTATGTGGCCATTTACAATAAGTTGCTTTAGTTACAGATCTTTGTCGCCTCTGGACATCAGTGGAGAGAGTAAAGGGAGGTAACCCTTGTAGGATTACCAGGAATCAGCCCCTGTGTTCCGTATCTGTGGACATGGCGATATTTCATGTGAGTAATAATACACCCTATTACATACATCATACATTTTAAATGTTCTTGCACAAATAAAGTATTGTTCAAGAGAAAAGACTGACTGAGTTTGGTTTAACGCCGTTTTTAGCATTATTCCAGCAACATCACGGCGGGGGACACCAGAAATGGGCTTCACACATTGTACCCATGTGGGGATTCGAACCCGGGTCTTCGGCGTGACGAGCCAACGCTTTAACCACTAGGCTACCCCACCGCCCCTCAACAGAAAAGAATATTTATATGGAAAACTTAGACATATAAGGTAGATAGTTTTCAAAATTTAACACTGACTTTGCTGAATGTCCCAAACCCGCCGCCATGTTGTTTTTTCCAAATCTCCTGAGACTGACTCAAGTGGAATAACCCCCAAACATCCTTGCATACTACTGTCTCTCGAGCAGCTCAGCAATTAATGTCAAAAAGTATTTTTAATACTTTTTTAAAGACAACTCTGAAAATTTGAACCCCACTGGTGGTGCATTTGGGGTTAATGGGTTAAATCAGTCTTTATTTAACAGAGAATTATTTGTCGGGGTTCAAACCCGAACTCAGCAATGTTTCGTCCATATGCATCAGTCTGTAAATAATCGAATTTGGACCATACAGTCCCGTGATAGACATCAAGAATAATCGATCTACGTATTTGACGTGCATCAAGAAGTCAGTTGGTCTGCACACCCGACCTGTGAAGATCCGGGTAAGAATTGGTCTTCACTAACCCATGCTTGTGGTAACCAGCGACTAACAGGATCGGGTGGTAAGGCTCGCTGACTGGGTTGACACATGTCATCGGATCCCAATTGCGTAGAACGATGCTCATGATGTTGATCACTGGATTGTCTTGTCCAGACTCGATTATTTACAGACCGCCGTCAAATAGCTTTAATATTGCTGAGTGCGGCGTAAAACTAAGCTCACTCACTAACTCAGTCACTGCACACCCGATCCCGTTAGTCGTCTCTGACAAGCATAGGTTGCCGGCGATCAGTTCTCACCCGCACGAGTTACCCGCCCTTCATAGGTTTCTGGAATGCCCAAAGCCGTAAATCCACACAGAGTTACCCGCCCTTGACGTCTACCAACTTCCGGGTAACTACTGACAAAGTAGATTATGACCACCATATTGATGATTCATCTACTTACGGTCTATCAAAGGAGAGGCCAGAACAAGCAGATCTGGACCGTTCTGCCTACGAGATCCTGCGTGGACGACAACAGGCAGAGTCAATGACCCATTGACCACAAATCTGGTGACGGGTGGCGCTGTGAATTGGAAATACCAGTATGCTTATGCCGCTCATAATTCGCAAAATTAAACTCAGAAATAAACTGCTACTTTTTCTGTTGTGAGATTCGATGCAATCAGCTTCTTTTCTGATATGCATATTTACCCCATCAGTACCAAGAAGGAAGTGTTCGATCCTCAAGCCATCAAAAGAAATAGTATACTCGGACTCTATACAAGCGCGACACGGGAAACATGCGGAAAGCAGAAACATCATGCCGTGTATCGGCTGTTTAAGTATGCTAATTACGTCAACAAATACATCGCTCCAGTAAAGGTGATTTATTTCAGTGGAATTTCACGTCTACTCGTAGGAATAGTAAAATATTCGAAACATTTCGAAACTGGTTTAACTCCAATCGCCATTGCATCTTGCACGAATCAAAACGTTCTTCAACCGTAAGGTCATCTACATATTTACCGTCCTGAAAATATAGCCGGAAGTGACGTTCTGTGAAACTTCACACTGCACACGACCAATTGTACGACACGTGTTAAGGCTAAACATATGCACTATTTTGTTACGCTATTGTTTCCTTTTATCCAAATGAATAGATGTTTCAATTGTTTGGGTTAAAAATCAAAGTACATTCCTTATCTCAATGAAATTCCTGAATAATTCTTAACAATTAATAAGTTTTAAAATTTAACTTTTAGGATTCGTTACTTGTAGTAAGGTCAAGTTTGGACACTTACATGCTTCTATCGTGTGCCATAGTTTACAAAATTGTAATACCGTGATGATAGAGAGTCGCTTCAACTTTCGGGTCAATCGAGGCAATCTGGATTATCGCGACCGTATTGATCGAGTAGCCACAATAAGTCGTATTTTGTTACAACAGAAATGGAGAATAAACATCAAATAACTGTAAACATATATAACGTCAAATATCAGTTGGCGTTAAAAGTACCGTTGTCTCAGTCTCGATGAGGCTATTATGATCTAATGTGTTTTAAAAAAGTATGTCATGCTACTGAAAACCAATCCTGCAAAATGTGTGACGGATAATATTAAAGATGAATATCACGTTCGTCTCATCTGTACACAGTATAAAGATCTAAGGAGTCATTATATCTCATCTAAGAATACGTCCTGTCCCACAGATTCTGTATCTTATGTCAGCCGAAATGTACAGCTTCTACAGACTGTTGCTACATTTATACACCATGCACTGTTAAATCACAAACGCGTAGGTACTAGTGGTGTTCCGATTAATTGAAATAATCGAAGATCGGTCGCAGTGTCTAAACGACCAAGCAATCGATTGTGTTTTCTCATAATCGAACACAACCAATTTTGGAACACTTGTTTGCATCAACAATATTTTACACAAGGTTGGTTTTGTCTGTGTCATTTAATTTACATTTCATAAGCACTACAAGCTCGTTCCAAGTCATGATTGAATTTATCTTAAAGAATCCAGCAAATCTGTGTTCCTAACATACTAATCATTCTTTAAATATGCGAAATTTGCCAATGGAATTTGTGCAATTTGTACAAGACCCAAATTACTACACGTTTTTTTCTTTTTTTGTGTGTGTGTGCATTAACAAAGATAAGAGGAACGTTTGATAAATGACGCAAACCAATTATTTTCGATGATTGATCGGTTGTAATGAACCAATCATCAATTATGAGATTTTAACCAATTCCCAACACTAGTAGGTACCACTCACCCATTGAAACCGTTATTACTTGTACTACGGGCATCTGGTCTACAGTTCAGAACATAGAGAATCGAATGTTCAGTTAGCGTTCCCCTAATCCTGATAGTGACGACATTAACTCGCGATAACAGATGCTTTCGATCATTCGTGACCAACCCGTGTGATTGAAGGTTACGGAAAGGGGCGACTGGTGACGAATGGCTTTCGATATCAAGAAGATATAGCTAACCCCGGTCGCCTTGGAGGCGTCGTGATATAAAGCAGGCAACGTCACCAGTCTCGGATCGACTACTTACTGGGGCTGATGGCATACCGGTGGATATCAAGCCCCTTTGGAAATGATATTAAATACGCATCGATGTCAATGTCTTCATCGGATGCTGGTTTCGATATCAGTAACTCCACAGAGTTCTTTGTGACTTCACCAATGGTTACAACTGGAGCTGACGGGAGGGCTGAAAATAAAGTACAGCTTTTTAATCTCTTCATTGGGTGAGTGAGTGAGTTTAGTATTACGCCTCAATCAGCATTATTCCAGCTATATGGCCGTCGTCTGTAAACACGATGACGATGCTTGAAAGAAATGTGTTCACATACTTACTCCTACGCAGCGTTGTTGCTGTAACGTTTGCGGTTTCGCCGTACTCAGCGTCGTATCCTGCTCTCACTAGTATAGTGTATTGCGTGTCGGGCATCAAACCCGTCAGCAAAAAATGCCGAGGATCCATAAGTTCACCTTAATGAAAACAGTAAAATCTTTTGAATCATTATGACTGCACTAATAACACCTACACTACGCTCTAACTGTACAGTGAGTGAGTGAGTGAGTTTAGTTTTACGCCGCACTCAGCAATATTCCAGCTATATGGCGGCGGTCTGTAAATAATCGAGTCTGGACCAGACAATCCAGTGATCAACAGCATGAGCATCGATCTGCGCAATTGGGAACCGATGACATTTGTCAACCAAGTCAGCGAAACTGACCACCCGATCCCGTTAGTCGCCTCTTACGACAAGATAGTCGCCTTGTTATGGCAAGCACATGGGTTGCTGAAGACCTATTCTACCCCGGATCTTCACGGGTCCTAACTGTACAGAGTTTCTGTCGTTTTTGTTCATAATACATCATTCGGCATCATTCGCGTCTTTCCTGAAGGACCGCCTCCGTGGTATAGTGGTTAGAGCGTCCGCCCGGGAGAGCGGAAAGTCGCGGGTTCGATCCCCGACCCCGTCATACCAAAAGACGTTAAAATATGGTACTTGTTTGTCCCTGCCTGGCGCTCGGCATTAATGTGTACAACAAGGACTGGTCGACTTGGAGTCAGTATAATGTGTCTGAGTAAGGGTATTCATGCTTCCCTGCGTCATGGTATCTCAGTGGGCTAGCACTATAAAACCAGTACAAACAGCCGCACATACACATACACACGCATGCACGTCGTCATATGAGCGACATATTTCTCAAGCACGACGTAAAACCCAATTTCACCCCACCTTTCCTGAAGCGGACCTACCCTTAACATCGTAGTTGACATCAGAACCGGAAGTAGTATGACGCACTTGATACCACGTGACCCCCCGGTCTCCATAGTTCGGAGGGGGTGTTATCACCAGCTCCACTGTCGTGCGTGTTGTCCCCACAAGGAAGAGTCCAGGAGGGGGCGGTTTTTCTGTAAATAGAGAGCATGAGCGAGCCTTCATGTTGGACCGAGTGTCAAAATATTTGCCGTACATGCAAAATTGGTATAGGTGATTTGTAGTGAGTGAGTTTAATTTTACGCCGCATTAAGCAATATTCCAGCAATTTCAAGGCGGGGGAAACCAGAAATGGGCTTCACACATTATACCCATGTGGGGAGTCGAACCCGGGTCTTTTGCCGTTTGGAGTTCCTAGGCTGGGCTGGTTACAATGTGAAGCCCATTTCTGGTGTCCCCCGCCTTGATATTGCTGGAATATTCACTCACTCACTTGATATAAACGGCTTACCATTATGGCGGCGTTAGACACCACATACAGGTACTCATTCACTTTCACTGCCAATAACATTACACTCATAATTATACTGCCGAAACAAATATATACTCATGATATGGTCACAATTGTACAATCTGCTTTTAGCAGATTTCTTTTGGATGTGAAAAGGGTTTTGTCGCTTCTATTTCTTGATTCGTGAGTTCATTGTACAAATATACGAATATATTAGACAAGTATACCTGAAACACATTCTGAATGATCCTGTGGGAAATTTACGGAAAGGGTCGATTGGGGACGAACTCAGCTTCATGTTACGGAAATGGCCGATTCTGTCGAAATCAAATCAGGTTACGAAAAACGGTGCGTAGGAAGGAAATCACGTGTAAGTTATGCACAGGGGCGATTAATGACAAAATCAATTCGTGGTTACAAAAAAGATCGCGGTGATTTTTGTGTGTGCTGGCATTTCAAATCACGGTTAATAACCCTTCTTCGGTGAGTAAACACATGTGAGTGATCACTGGATTGTCTGGTCCAGACTCGATTATTCACCGACATGGGTGGAATACTGCCGGGTGCGGCGTAAAACTAAACTCATTCATTCACTCACTCACTCACTCTTCGGTGAGTAGAGGCAGCTTACTGTCGGGAACTCCAGTAGTGGGAATGACGTTCGCCGTAGACGGTGCCGCTGTTGATGTTGATGTTCCGCCTCCGACGCAGTAGTTCCTGATGTTCTCAACTAAGTCACTTTGGTCACGTAGACAAGCCTTTTGTTCAGTAACACCTTCTTCCACACGCGTCAGCATAGTTTTCAATTCCCGGACCTCGTTGTATATTTTCCTCACATCGGCTTCAACACCTCGGCGACTGTACATGCCTCTCTTACCTATGGTGATCTCTTCATCCGTTTCCCGGCGCGTGATGCCTGAATGCTGCAGGATCTGCTTCAGTTCTTTGACCTCTTCTCTCAACTCTGAAACCTCTGTGTCGTCGTGAACGGTGCCCGAAACTACCACGAAACACACGACAGCAACAACGACTAATCTTCCCATGTTGAAGTTTGAATGAAACTGAGAGTCAGATTGAGCAATATCGGATTCCCTATTTATGAACTTCCGGTGCGAGATAGTCATGGGCGGTTAATAAGCTTTATAAAGACTTAATAAGCTCGTGCCCTCAGATAATAGCCGTTTAAAGTACTCGTTAAATATCATTTCCCGTACGGCTGAATATAGTTTACTTTGTATCATTATGAAAAAATAACAGTGGGCATACAGAAAGCGAGAAGTATCAGGGCATTTCCTGTTATTAAAGTGTGATCAAATCTGGTTTTGCTTTCCTTGTGATACATTTTCTATATTTCCTTGTGATACATTTTCTATACATTTTCTATATTTCCTTGTGATACATTTTCTATATCTCCTTGTGATACATTTTCTATATTTCCTTGTGATACATTTTCTATATTTCCTTGTGATTATATTTCCTTGTGATACATTTTCTATATTTCCTTGTGATACATTTTCTATGTTTGAATGCAGAATTAGACAGATACATATACGGCAGATAATTACTCAGATGCATAAACCGAATTAGATGGATACATATGGAGAATATGATGGTGGGTTGGTTTGTTGTTTAACGCCGCACCCCGCAATATTCAAGCTGTATGACGGCGGTCAAACAATCCAGTGATTAACAGCATGAGCATCGATCTACGCAAATGGAATACGATGAGATGTTTCATAAACGTCAGCTTGCATGACCACCCGATCCCGTTAGTCGCCTTTTACAAGCATGTGTTGCTGAAGACCAATTCTAACCAGGATCTTCATGGGTCTAAGCATGTGTTACTGAGACCAACTCTAACCAGGATCTTCATAATAGAACAGATAGTGCTGAATTAGACAGACGCATATGCCGAATACAAAACATATTATACATATGCACAGGCAGAATTACACACAGAACCTACACAAGTACAAACAGGCAGCCACGGCCATATTGTCAGTAAACATGTGCATAATGAAACTACTAGATCACAGCAAAGTAGTATTAATGAATTTGAACAAGACTTGAATCAAAACTGTTTTCTGATTCAAATGGCTGTGCATCCATCGATGCAAATCTCACTTTTGACACATGACCTGCACCCAATCTGTGAAATAAGTTCTAAATTAGGCAGTTATTATCACTGATAATTGTAAAACATTAGGCATTTTCGCAGCGCCGAGATGCCTGCCCAGTGACGATTGAGTACCCTGCTCCATTAGAGCTGTAGACTAAACTAGCAGGTCAACAACTGTATAAACCATGTGATAATTATGGACAAAGACTGAGGCAGGGCTTTGGCTACTGTTCATGCTTTACTGGATCATGCTTCAGCTGTATTGTACGATAGGGCAACCACATCTATGTATGCTAAATACCCACATCCAAAGGTGTGTATTGTGTACATAAAAACAGATACGTCTGCAAAATACAAATGCAAAAATATTACACTGTGGCAGTGAAAAATCGGCGGATCCAGAGGGGGAAGGGGTTGCAGGGGTGCACACCTCCCTTTTGTCCTGAAAGTTTATTAAATGATCATTGAAACTCTCGTGAAAACGGGTGAAAATGAACGGTGCACGAAACCCAGGTCCACATACCTAGTAGGTCAGGGGCGGATACAGGATTTTCGTTTGGGGGTGGGGGGTGCACCCCAATCCTCGGAACCCTGGGCATAAAACATGTAGTACATTTGGAACACATTGGGGGTGGGGGGGGCGCGCACCCCCTCTGGATCCGCGCATGTAGGTGTTGTATTTCATATCTCCTGTAATAGTGTATATGTACTGAGCTGTCATCCCATCTGGGTAACCATGCCTGGAAGTCAGTATAGATATATTATTAACATCCATGGTTGATTTGTATGCGGCTGATTTGTATTGACTGGATTTGATTTGTATTTTATGTTTTTAACATTGTAGCATGTTGGGATTGATAACTATAGTGTACCACGTGTCTAAATCGTGATGTATTTGGCGTATGACATGATACCTCAGCAGATTTACATTGTTCACCGATTGTTTCAGGGTTTTATGTATTAGGAGGACATTGGTGGATTCGTCCCAGATTAATAAGTGTGCCCTCAACCACCTCATCAACATCAATATCACAAAAGGGAAAACACTCTCTAAGCCTACTGGTTGAGCTTCGGTCTTTCTTCAGGATTAAAAAAAAAGAGTCAAAGATGTTTGAGGGACATAGACTTAAAGGGAAATAACTCCGTACCAATGATCCTGATTGGCGGGGTTTAATGTTCACACAAATGTTGTTCTGCGTGCTGTCACTCGGCTATTGCAGAGCTTGGCTACAACTGTTATTGTTTAACTTGGGGGAACCAGCTGCAAACTTTATGCAGATGAATTGCACGAGGATCATACATCAAATTGCTTAAAAGCATGTGCAAATATCGTGCATGTGAACAGCTGCGTATTGGTGTAAAATTTTGTTAAGAATTCGTCAATTTTCACTGAGTTTCATAATTTAATTGAACTCATGACAATAATCTTTTCAACGTTACGAATTTGTTTTACAATACATCAGTTTATGTGTAAACAGTTCCTTTAAACAGTATGGAATATTTTGCAAAATCTAGTTTAGAACAGTTGACTGAAGTAAGTGGCTACATTTACACTAGTGGGTCTAAACTTTTGATGGGTAGTATATATACATATATGCACGTATTCTTGTATCGACCATGTACGTTTATGTTTTTATCCATTTAAAAAGCCACATCGTTTCCCAAGGATATACATGTATCCATCTTTCAAACACTTCTTCGTGAACTCAATTACTTTGATCCATCGTCTTTAAAATGACTTATCTCGTGCCATGGCATGTCGAAGGAAATCTAATTCAATTAATTAAAGCACCACTTTTCTTTTCAGTTCAGCATACATAAATCTCCTTATTAAGTAGCGTCAGTGTGTCTCTGAATTCATTATGTACCCATGCTGGGAATAGAACCCGGACCACCCTTTAACCAAGTGCACGAGGCAACCCATCGCCTATCCACCTAGATCTGTTACGGACCACAAGGCCTTGGAACACATCCCCTTTCACTGGGACTAATATTTTATTGCAGTCCTTCTCCAATTCTTTAAGGGGCATTTAGAAGCTGGTATGATGAAAAGGAACACTTTTATGGACAGACAATTTCTTTATTGCAGTGGATGCGACGTTTCGGTGTAGATCCAAACAGCTTTATTAAGCAAATGATACACAGCATTATGTACGAGGAGAAATAAATACATGAAGGGTATTTGAGTTTATACAATTGAAGACGTTGATGCACAGTATGTTGTGATTACAGAAATCATTGAAGCAACCGAGTGTCCTATCAAAAGGTGAACAAAGGGTGGGTTATTCTTCATTGGCCTTGATTAGTTGATCGTAAGCTTTAGGGATGTAAAAAACTTGATCTCTGTTGACTGTGTTGTTGTCTTAGTCCTTCTTTTCTTTGAAACTTTGCGGATTTCATCCCGATGGTGTGGTCTTTACACACACCTTTCGACAGCTGTAGCCTTGGTAAATACTTTCGATCTTCTGACAGTATGTGCATAATACCCTCAGCAAAATTGTGGACGCCCCGATGCGAGAGGATGAAGATCTGGCGATGATGTCTGCAGAAGGTCTGCCCATTACATTCGAGAATTCCATGCTGGCAAAACTGCTTGTGGTTCCTGGAAATGAAAATACGGATCCGACGTAACAAACAGTTGTAGTTTTGTATTTTGTTCAACGCCACAGTCAACAATTGTCTAGCTATATGGCGGTGGTATGTAATTAATCGATACTGGACAAGATAATCTAGTAATTAATGTCATGAGCGTCGATTAACGAAATCTGGATACTATGACAAGCATCAATCAAGTCAGCCAGTCTGACCACCCGACGGGATTACTAAGATTATTCAAGGTCACAATCTCCGGACCTTTCCGTGTCTGGAGGGCGGTGGGGTAGCCTCGTGGTTTGCTCGTCACGCCGAAGACCCGGGTTCGAGTCCCCCCATGGGCACAATGTGTGAAGCCCATTTCTGGTGTCCCCCGCCGTGATATTGCTGGAATATTTCTAAAAGCGACGTAAACCTAAAGTCACTATCTCACTCACCCCGTGTCTGGATTAACACATTTTCAGATTACGCTTAGACAAACGTCGTTTTGTGTCAAGTATAGGGCTGGGTATTGCAGAGAATATTCATATTGCGATATATTGCGATGCGAAAGCATGTATTGCGATATGTATTGCAAACAAAAAATTACATATAATCGAGTTACTGCTTGATTTATAGAGCAAAAACACAACAAAATCACTATGCCTGATTAAGCTTTAATAACAAATTTTAATCATGTTAGAATAAAAATGTGAATAATATTTGGCACAAATAAAACAAGGAAATATCTGAAGATTTCCGAGTGTTACGAAGTTTTCCGAATACATGTCAAAATACCGGTTTTCGATCAGCGTTTCGCAATACGTATCGTTTTCATGTCTAAACCGGTAAACCGGTTATATTGCGCAGCGCTAGTAAAGTAACGTTGTTGCGTGTGGCACTGAGAGAGGAATTAGCAGAATATTTTGATCAAAATTTAAACAAGTAAAACATGCGAATACAGTACTCACCGACTCACTCACTCACACCCAACACATATAATACAAAGTAGTTCAGCAAAACTAACCTGTTTTAACTGCCGCAGTGATATAATGGAACATTCCGATGACTAAGAACAGCAACGTCAACATGTTGATGTCAAGAAGCAACCATAACCTCAGACGTCCCCTCACCTCAAGAGTTTAACAGGATTCGATATATATACGAGTATACCAAGTGTTGATCCCTTAACAAATATAGCTTCCATGGACAAATAGTCAGTATGACGTCTAAGCTAAAGTTGGATGCAACATGACTTCCTTGTCCGTCTATGAACAAACACACCACTGAAATATCTGGGGGAACCTGACATTTTATTTCAAATCAACAGCCGGGACTATCCCAAACCAACATTATACAAGCGTTACTA